AAACTATTGGTTTAGTTATTGGTGGATTTGAATCAATTTGACAATGAAATGTTAAACGATCATCTTCAACAACAAGTAAATTAAGATTTGAAATAATTGTTTGAGCATGACGTAAACGAACTTCTGGTTTATCTATTTTCAACAAAGAAAATAAAAATTATAAATTGAAAAAAAAAAATAATTTTTTTGTTTTTATTTACATTCAATATCTAATGTATATGAAGTAATTAATGGTTTATCTAACGCTTCATTTTCTATTTGACAAGTTAATAAACCATTATGAAAACTTTTTTCTAATGGTAAATATAATTCACTATATGATTGACGTGTATCAGAATGAATCGTATACAATGAACTAATTATTAAAAAGAAAAAAAGAAAATTTTCAAATAATATTTTTATTTTTTTTTATTTTTATGTCTTACTCATTTATTTTTATTTGATTAATTAACCAATTAAATGTTGGTAATGGATTTCCACCTTGTGTTAAACATAGAAATTTTCCTATATTATTTTCAATTAAACTTTGGTTTGTTTGTTGTATATCAGGTTTTGTTGGTCGAGCTAAAATAAAATGTTATATCAACATGCTTTACATTTTAGAAAATAGAATATGTTAACCTTGGTATTCTTGATTAGAATCAGAAAAGAAGAAACAGTTAAGAAACGGTCAGACATCAATCATATATTGACCTTCACCTTTCATATTCAATCTTAAGGCATAGGTATCAAGCTGTTAAACGATCGTTCATCTAGTCTTATAAATATTATTATCGTCATCATTCAAATCAGTGTTTTTTATTTTATACTGACATAATTAAAATTATTAATATTCACATTACAATTGAATTCTTATTGTTAAGAACTGTATTTCGCATGTGATTAGAATCAATACATATGTATAGTTAGTACTAAAATGTTTTTGCTTTTTTAAAAATCTACTTACTTAAAATAGTTAATAAAATATTCATGGCTAAAACTTGATCAAAATTTTGACATAAATATCGTCCACTATCCTGTTCAGTTACTGTTTTAATCATTAAATCATATTTACTTATGATTTCATATTTTTTTCGATCACCAGCTATTTCATCATTAACAGATAGAACAACACTATCTTTTGACCTATTGATTAAAATCAAAAAAAAAAAAGAAACTTTCTTTCTATATATTTTTTTTTTGCTTACCACATAACACGATCTCCTTTATTTAATTGTTCAAATCGACATGAAAGTACTACATTATGACCTTGTTTTTCTGTAATAACTTTTGTACCAACTATTCTTGATGCTTGAATACATTTAGTAATAATAATAAAGAATAGTACTAAAAAAATATTCAAAACATATACCGTATTGTTTTTTGTGTGATTTCAATCAAATAGATTATCATGCTTTTCTTTGTTTTTTCTTTTTCTATCACTTTCAATATGTCATGAATAAATCAATATAACATTAATCATATTGATTTATTTGACTAAATAAAATGTTTAAAATCAAATTGGAAAATCCATCATGATAGATATATATTTAATTTGAATAAGAAAAAAAAAAACAAATTGAAAGAATTTCTTTATGGCAATTCACTCATTACAGATATACATTATATATTACTGAGACCTTGTCTAGTGTTCAGTAACAATAAACATAAGATGATATAAATTATTCGATTTTTTACAATAAAAAGAAAATGATACAAACTATTGTCTCTATCTTTTTTTCCTCAAGTCAAGTAGAAGGCTATTGTGTAATCTTAATTTAGAACAAAGAAAAGCGAACTTTCAGTAAAAAAGATGAAAAAATCTTACCGAAGATTGTCACTTGATACATTTGCAAAAATGAAACATACAATCGAATGAATACGTTAATCTGTATAGAAGTGTGGAGGTGAAATTTTTTTATTACGTTACGTCAAGTTAAAGTTCAACATAAGTATTTCTATGTATTCATTTTTTTTCGATCCGAATATAAATGAATTTGTAAATAAACTAGATGACAACCAAGAGGATCAGCTTGATTGAAAGGATAGAAATGATTATGATTTCTTCTTTCCTATACCAATGAAGATGATGATGATGATGAGTAAATACGCGTTCTTATATTGAGAGAAATGAATGAACGGCTACATCCTCTTCTTCTTTCTTCTTCTTCTCTCCTCTCTTCTCTTCTCTTCTATCAATAGTCAAAATGACCATAGAATAAAAGAAGAAGAGATGTCAAATAATAGCATGCAAGTCCATTATAAATGTTCCGAACTCTTTAATTCCATTTTCTAACTTGAACACATGTTTATATATGTATATATATTAAGTCATTTGCCATGGCCGTGTAATAATGACGACAAAAGACAGACATATTACTATTATGGTTGTCCCTTGAGATTTGGCTTCCGTTTGTTAAATTGTATATATTTTTTAAGAAAAAAGAGAACAATTCAACGTTAATTCTCTCAAGATGTTCACTGGATTGATCTCCTTTGGCTATGTTTAATTTGATTTAGAGAACGATGAATTGAAATGTTGACCTTTAGACAATCTAATAAAATTTTGGTCTTTTCTTGGTATATATTATATAAACAAATATTTCTGTTCAATTTGTTTTACGCATTCCTTTAAAAATTTGTTCATATTTACTTGAGATCTTCAAAAAAAAAAAAAGAGAGAAATTTATTACGTATTACTTATTAATTCACTTTATAGAGCATCGTACAAGGCTTCATCATTTCCATAAAAAATGAAAAAAAGAAAAGTCATCTCCAGTCTATATGACGTTTTAATTATAGTTTCTACAATTGCTTAAACTTTTTTTTTTCTATCGTCATATCCGGATTCATCATAGTATTTTTTTTATTATGATGTGACGCCGGCAATTGAATGATTGAGTTGGTTTCATTTCCTAGTAAAAATTATTACACATATCTTTTCTATTGAAATAAAACAAAAAAAAAGGAGATTAGGATAATTAGTCGAGGAAAAAAAAAGATGGCTATATGATAGGTGTTTATTTATACTCATCAAGGACATTGAGATGATTGCGTCAATTATATTATGTTTACTTTTTTTGTCAAGATATCGACACATATGATGGTGCAAAAGGGCGATACTCTATATATATTGTAAAAGAGAAGCTATATTATAATAAATGAATATCAATTAGCTTGATTGTATATAATATGTAATGTGATTTCATCTCTCTTTCGTATTGGTATTCAACACAAGAGATTTGTTTGACATGAAACATCGACTATAGAGTAGTATCTCTTTTATTCAATTAGTTACAAGAAGATAATGTTTGACATAATATTATATATGATGATCGATGCCAGAATTCAATATTTGTTCTATTGAGACTTTATAACAATAGATCTGCATAAAATCAAATGAGATGATAGCCATCATAAAATAAGCCAATAATTGAACATGCAATGTTCACTCATTCGTTGAAGACTAAAAGTCAAAAATTGAATATATATATATATATATATACATAAATGAGATTTGAATATAATTAAAATTATTTATCTAAATGAAGAATCTTTGTTTAAAAATTATAAACTAATTAGATATTTAAATAATTGAAATTTATCTTGTTTAATTTGTAAAAATTTGATAGCTCATTGATCTTTTTAGAACAAATTTTAGACCAGTATAATCGTAGACTTAAAAAAAATAGATTAAGATTATGATTACATAAAGAAAATAGGTAAATAAGTTACGGCGTTTTTTTTTTTTTTGCATGTCATACTACACAATGCATGTGCACAGGATAGCATTATCATAATGAACATCTTACACAACATGGCTTTGTATGATAAGAAGATTTCAAGAAATTGAATAAATTTAGAATTTTTTCTTCATCAAACAAAGAAAATGAATCTACAGTAGCGTTATCTGCATAGCAAAGACTATTTTTTTTTTCAAGGCTGATATATTTTCCAAAAAATCTTGAAGTCTATGCGTAGTTTACATTCAATATTTCCTGTGATATTAATAGATTTCTCTTTGTTAATTCACACAAAACTTAATTTAGAGCATCTATCATTTAAAGAAATCTCGTTTAGTGTAAACATAAGATCTTTTAGCTAGCTGTATCGTTTCTATTTCCCTTATAAATAATCGACCTTAGAGTTAGTACTGAGTAGTATTCGAAAAATTGAAACTTATCTTTTTAGTTGAAATATACGATAGCGTTTTTTTTTCATAGAAAAACTGTACAATAAGACTAGACACGTAGTTAAAAATTAGAGCCCGTCAGGTCCAAAATTTTCGGATCCGATTAACAGACAAATTTCAGATCCGAATCCGACTGGATTCGAGCTCGTGACCAACTCATGGACTCTATCAGAAATTCTTCACGAACGTACACGACATAGTGAAACTAATGTTTTTTCTGCGAAAAAACAGTCTTCGTTATATTCTTTTCCAATTAGTTTTTTCTTCAAGATAGTTCTTCACTTCAACTGAGGGTCTCAACAAGACTCGCTCTTTTATTTTCACTTCTAGATTTATTATAGAAACTATTTATTATTACCTCATATTGTTCAAATATAAATATTTTTTAGTTTGAATTTAATAATCTTCTTAGTATAGAAATATTGATTAAACATTTCAAGACAATATTTTTGAACCATTCTTTATATTATTAATGCAATAAATTACAATTCAAAAAGACATACAACATCCAATATTTTATTCATTAACCTTTTATTTGCAATCAGCAAGTTTTTTTTAATTTTTGACCAATATTTTTCAGAAATTTTAATATCAAATATTGATGTAATCATTTTGATTGTTTTATTAAAAGAAAACTTCTTCAATACTTTACAAAATGTTCTTTTAAATTTGTTCATATTCGATTTTATAATCGAGAATAAATTTATTTTATTTATTTTTTAAATAGACCATATATATATAGAAAATACTATCGTTCAAACTACAAAACTAAATAAATTATGTAATATACATATAAAGTGAAAGTTCGACTAGTCGTGAATAATGCATATTAAGTAATATTTGTTAAAGTTTGTTGAGTATTTAATTGTTGTTTAGATTGTTGAAGAAGACGAGCTAAATGATCATTACGTTCACGTAAATATCGAATTAAATCGGCTTGTTTTTCAAGAACATTTTCTGTATAAGTTTCATCACTAGCAAAAAAAAGAAAAATAAAGATAAAATATATTCAAAAATAAATAATTCAATCTAAAACAAAAAAACAAACAAACCGAAAACCAATTTCATTAGTTGATGTTTGTAATGAAGCAAAAGTCGAAAGTAAATCATCAAGTGCAGCATCTGGTGGAACATGTTGTTTATTAAATTTAATAGTAAGAACTTTAAACAAAAAAAAACGAAAGAAGATAACATAAAATTATAATGATCATTTTTTTTTTGTTACTTCTTACCAAGATACCATAGAAGTGCACTTAACATAATAATTATTTCAATAGTTGTTAGAATTGCAAGACAATGCCATGGTTGAAGTGGTAAAATTGATGATGGATAATCTTCAAGTAATTTAATCATAGCAACAAGAATTGCATTACCTTTATAAATCATAATTAAATATAGAAGAAAATTTTAAATTTATAAATTTTACCTGTTGAAATGATTATTAAAGGTATACGTCTTAAATTTATTGTTTGACGATAAAAATCAAGATAACCATCACGTTGTGATAAATCTTGATGATAATGGTACATACTAAATGAAATAATCAAGTTTAATTTTAAGTAAGAAAGGAAAATTTTGAAAAACATGATTAATTGTATTTCTAGAAATCTTTATGATTGAAACTATCGGTTAAAAGAAAATATTTTCTGTAACTTATGGCAATAGAAATGAATAACGAAATCCATCCATTGAATGAAATCAATTCTACTTAATTTTTGATTAATAAAGATATAGAATACTTTACTTATCGAAACATGATCCATGAGAAAATTCTTTTAAATATCAGATTAGGGTTGACATCTCTTCTGTTTTTATTGAAAAATTTGAGACAACAAAAAACTATTAATATTATAAATAAGTTATCGTAGCTGTTGTCTACAGTCTATTATTCCTGATATGATTTATTCTGTGGTCTATTCTAGAAAGTTACGTCAATGTTGAAAGTGTTTTTTTCTGGAAGTTGGATATTTATCCGATGATTTTTTGCAATTAAATGTCAGTAGATTCAATACCTGCAAGAAGATAAATTCGTTGAAATACTTCATTGCCCTACAGACATCTATTATCTCAAAAAGAATTGCTAATCGAAAATTATTTAAATATTAAATGTAATTTCATTCAAACGATGATGTGCTTAATAAAATATCCATTTTCTTTATGCTTTCTTCATTATGTTTTGGAACTTTGAGAATACAGAAATGCGATGAAAAGAAGCAACAAGTTATTTAAACCTATAGAAATGTGAAGAGCCCACAAAAAAAAACTTTCCTAACTTGAGGAGGAAGCAATCCTGTACCAGACTAAAACGAAGTTCGAACAGGTACGAGTCAATGATTCTTCTCAATCACAATTTGATGTCTTCTATAAAATCCTTGATCCGAATCTTACATAGACTTTTGTTGTTTTATAGAGACCTACTCACAATCAAACTTCATCGATATAACATACGTGCGACCAATTGTTTATAAATGAATACTATTAAGTATTTAGTTGTTAGTTGTAGAACCTATTTTTTCTACTCATATTTAGTCATTAAACAGTTGGAAAGTCTTTCAGCAATGATATCAATCATTACCTTTTTATTTTCAAAATCACAATTCGTATGATCTATCCTATATAGATTTTACAATCGACCTTAATATCTAACGAATGATGCAAAAATTTCTGAGAAAAATCAAAAACATCTATACAAGATCTATATTAAAAGTCCTTTCTAATTGTATGTACAAAAACGTTTTATCATGTTTTATATCTTTGTTACTCTCAAAGACACAAGATAATAAAACTTTTTTGAACATACAATTAGAAAGACTTTTCAATGTAGATACTATAAGATATTTTGGGATTTTACCCAAACATATTTTGATCGATGAAAAACGAAGTAACATTTTTTTCGGAAACGTTTGCATTATACAATAAATAATTATCTTTAAAAATTTATTATATTGAAATTTCTCTTAATCATACCGATCAAAAATAACACAGACAACATAAAACCCAGCATGTACATATAATGAAATATTATATGGAGAATGACGATCACATATATCTGCAATTCTTTTATCATAGCATAAAAACGGAAATAATACAATGACGATTTCAAATAAAATCTAGAACAAAAAGAAAAGTTTTTTTTCATAAACATATTTCTTTTTTGGTTTTGGTTTTTACCACAAGTAAAATATGAATAATAATAAAAGTAGTTGTTCGTATTGGTCGATAATGTTTTTCAATACCCATAATAAGTGGAGTATTTTCTGTTATGATTTCATCATTTATATGTATTGATCGATCTTCAAATGACATTGCCTTGACAAAAAAAAAATTTACTAAACAATAGAAAAAAAAAACCCAACTTACTCCTCCACTTCGACTATGTTGTGGATTTAAACTAACCATCTACAAAAAAAAAGACAAACACGAAAATACTCTTGTATAAAAAAAATGAATACTATTTTTTAGTTTTTCAAAACTTAGTCCCAACCAGAACTCCATGAATTATTAGGTTCTTTCTCAATTTCTTCTAAAGGTGGATCAATATATGGATGTTTTTCAACATATTCTGATACAGTTCCATTCCATTCTAATAAACCTTCTAACCATTTCATTAATTGTCCATCATTTTCTAAAACTTTATCTTTATATATTTTTATATCAGTATTATCATCATTTAATTCAAATAATTTCCATGTACGTGGATGTATAGCTGTATGTATTGGATTATCACGTACTTTTAATTTATTATCATCAATTAATAATGTATGATCACGTAAATCAATATTACTTGGTTGATTCATTAACCAACGTTCATTTATATCAACTGTATCCCATACAGATGTTAAACGTTTAAAAAATAATTTTGTATTTGTTGGATCAATTGCTGTTGGATTATCTTCAGTAAAACAATGTTCTTGATTCCACCAAAATAATAAACGTGGACGTTCATGTTCATCAGGTAATAAAGCTTCAACAATAGGTGCAATATTATGATATAATACAGATGACCAAATAGCAACATGAAAATGTTTCAGTAACCATTCAAGAAATTCTTTAACATTAGGACGAAGCCATACAGCAAAATTACCTTTACGTTCTGGACGTGGTAAATTACGAAGATTATATTGTTCTTCAAATAAAGGTTTACATTTGACATATAGACTTTTATGAACACGATGAATGAGAAGACCATTAAGATCAAGAATGATTAAACGTTTTATTTTTGACATAGTTTTACTTAAGAAAAAAAAAATGAAAAAGAAAAATTTTTGTTTTTCAATATGATGAAGGAGTGGGAATTTTATGTTGATGAATCATTCGAAAAATCTTTCTTTTCATTAATTGGTATAGTTTAATAAGCAATAGTAAATTATAGATGTCAGTTTTGTTATGAAAATTTTAAGGATAAGATAATAAATAAAATAAACGTTATCAGTCGTTTACTTTTATTTTTATTTGAATTATTACATGTCGAATATAAGTTTATTATCAAACACAGATTTGATCAGTTGTTTAAATAACTAATAAATAAAATTTATGTTATCATCATTATTTATGTTCTTTTTTTTTTTTTTGTATTTGAGATCTTTGAACATCGTGTAGAAGAAAAATGGAAGGATCAAGTCCAGTTGATGACGAACAAACTCAATTAGTTAATCGACAAGGCACAAGAACTTATCATGGATTACTTGATCCACGTGGACCATATCTTAGATGGGTTGCCGTATTTTTTATGTGCTTTTTATCATTTGGTAAAAATGAATTTTATTTTATTAAAAAAAAAACGTACTCTTCTATTCATTTTTATTAGGATCCTATTACTGTTATGATAATCCGGCCGGCTTAGAAGATGTAATGAAATCTGATTTAAAAATTTCTTCATCAACTTTTACAGCATTTTATTCTTGGTATTCATGGCCTAATGTTGTGTAAGTTAAATAATATCGTATATAAAATCTTTAAATTTGTATAATTTAATAGACTTGCTGCTGTTGGTGGTATATTAATCGATAAATGGCTTGGTGTAGCTCGTGGTGCAACTGTATTTTGTGCATTTATTGTTGTTGGACAAATTATTTTTGGTTTTGGTGGTTATTTTCGCTTAATATGGCTTATGAATGCTGGTCGTTTTGTATTTGGTATTGGTGGTGAATCATTATCAAGTGCACAAAATGCATATGCTGTTTCATGGTTTTTTGGAAAACAATTGAATTTTGTATTTGGTTTACAACTTTCATTTGCTCGTGTTGTATGTAGAATTAATTTTATATGATAAGGAAAGAAAAAAAAAAAACAAGATTTCTTTATATTTTTAAGGGAAGTTTAGTAAATATGAATACAATTCATCGAATTTATGATTCACTTGATAAAGATTCAACTGGTCCACATCGTATTGGTACAACACTTTTAATTGCTGTTTCAACTTGTTTTGTTTCACTTGTATGTGCACTTATTCTTTGGACATTAGATATTCGACGACGAAAAGTTATACAAGAAGATCATCCACATGATCCAGGTTTGAATATAAATTCTTTCTTTTTTCTTTTTAATTTAATTTTTATGATTATTTTCTAGCTGATGAATTTCATATTCGCGGTATGTTTTAATAAAATAATGATAAATATGATTGTAATTTGTTTTTTTTTTTGGATTTTAGATATTCGACATTTTTCAGCTTCACTTTATTGTGTTTTTATTATTTGTGTATTTTATTATGTTGCAATATTTCCATTTATTGCTGCTGCACAATTACTTTTTATATCGAAATATAATTTATCACCTACTTGGTCGAATGCCTGTAATAGTTTAGTCTATTTTATGTATGTTCAAAAATGAGCATATTTGAAGAAATAATAGGAAAATTTTCTTTTTTCTTTTTTTAAGGTCAGCTATTCTTTCACCACTACTTGGTTATGTTGTTGATAAAACTGGTAGAAATCTTTATTGGTTAATGGGCAGTATAACAACAACAATATTTGCTCATGCTCTTCTTGCATTTCTTTTTGTTCATCCGGTTGTACCTCTTGTTTTAATGGGCATATCTTATTCAATATTAGCTGCATCATTATGGCCAATGGTTGCTTTTCTTGTTCCTAAAAAAATGTTAGGTACAGCCTATGGATTTATGCAATCAATTCAAAATCTAGGTCTAGCTGTAATGTATGTAGTTTTTGTTTTGTTTTTCAAATATTTAATTTCTCTTTTTATTTTGTTTTAAGGAATATATTTACTGGTTTAATTCTTGATAGTTATGGTTATTTTATTCTTGAAGTATTTTTTATCATATGTCTTGAAATAGCATTATTAGCTGCAGCATTTCTTTACGTCTATAACTCAATAAAGAAAGGCATACTCAATGATTCACCATCTGCACGACGTGCTAAACAAGATTTACTTGATGGTAAAACAGATGCCACAATAAATGCCGTAGTCGATTCACCAGTATCACCTGATGAAAACAATGGAAAAGTTTCTTATACATAACATATTATTAATTCATATGTATGAGAAACAAAAAAAGTCTTTCAAAGCATTAATTTTCTTTTTTTTTTCCTTTTTTTGTTTTCAATCATGATGATTTATTTTTAACATTTGATTATATTAAGAGAAAAAAAACGTTCTATAGTTTGAATGATGATTCTTTTTTTTTAATTTTATTTAAAGAAGGTGTTTCAGATTACATTAAGAAAAAAAGAATGTTTTCTGCATTACGATCAAGAATATCTTGTCAGAATTGTTGGTCTATTTCTCGTTCATTAAAACTTTTTGAACGACAGACAATTAAAATAAATAATCGTACATTCACATTTTCTGCTTTGCATTTTCAACAACAAAAACAAACAACAAATAATAATTCTTCACCACCACCACCACCATCATCATCATCATCATCATCATCATCATCACCATCGAAATTATCTTCATTAATGGGTGAACATGAGAGTAAAACACCATTTATATTTTCTAAAACATCACCAGAACCAAAATATTCTAAAACTCAAACTGATGATGAAAAACATGAACGTGAAGCTAAAGCAGCTTGGGATGTACGTATGTTAAAATATACAGGATATTTTCTTGGTATATGGTTATTTTCAACAATTGGTTATGTTATACTTGTTTGGGGTGCACCACAAATTGATGAAAATGGAAATATTATACAAGATCGATATTCAAATTTACCAACATGGCAACAATATATTAAACGATCATTTCGAGAAGTTATTAATTATTGGCAAACAATTAAAGATCCAACAAGTGATAAACTTTTACCTGAACCATTACCAGCACCATATCAACCAAAATATACATTAGTTATTGAAATGTCAGGAATATTATTACATCCAGAATGGGCTTATAATACAGGATGGAGATATAAAAAACGACCAGGATTAGATTATTTTATAAAAGAAATTGGTTATCCAGTTTATGAAGTTGTTATTTATACAAAAGAAGCACCATGGGTATGAAAAAATTGAAATATTTCAATAAACGAGTTTTTTTATTTATTTATTTTTTAATATTAAATACAGAGAGAAAGAGATAAAGATCTCGATTACGGTCTTGAGATAAGTCTTTTTTTTTCAAACTGTATTCACATAAATTCTTAATACTTGATTGATCGAATTAAGAAATGCAACATATTTTGATCTTCTTTTTTGAGTTTTGTACTATCAGTAAAGAATAGTAGACATATTCAAGTCAAATTAGAAGTCTCAATCTCAAACTAACAAATTTAAAATATGAACTGCTCATGATGTGTACTGAACGAGACTAAGGAATTTTTTAGGTATTTACAATATATGTAAGATAGTGTGTTTCAAACTTCAAAATAAATTTTAAAAGATTTCATAAAAATGAGCATTTTTTTTTTGTCTATTTTCCTTATATTTGAAAATAATGATACCTTGACCTTTTTTCATTAATTTTGTTTTTGACACACACTTTTACTTTTGCAACGCGACTAGCTGTAGCCAGTCATCATGAAAAAAGAAAAATAAATATTATTAAAATTTTGACTTGTGGGTATCTGACATACACTGTAGATATCTAAAAAAAAAATTAATTATTCCACTCGATGTACACCATGGATAATATCATATTATGAATTTGTTAGTTTGGCAACGAGACATTTAATTTGACCTAAACATATCTTTGCACTATGAAATAAAATCTTTGGTATTGGACACGTCAATCAAAATCGAGGCTAGCACTCATCAAGTATATCACTATGACTTGACTGAATTGAATAGCGATAGAGAACGTCTTTGTCCTTCACTCTAATTCGAAGTAGTTTATGAATGTGTTTAAACAGACCGTATACACTTGTAAATTGAAAATTTGAATATTATTGACACAAGACTGAATATATAATATATTGATTATTTTTCATGTAAAAATAACACATCGTTCGAGCAATTGTACGAATGTCGAACTATTAGAAATAATTAGAGTTTATTTTAATTAAATTTTAACAAAGAAATTATAGTACAGTCAAAGATAAGATAAGTCGGCTTTTATTTGTTCTCTCTATTTAGTCACCTCGATTAAGATAAAATGACGCAGTAAATATAATATTTTCATTTATTTCATGATGCTAAAAACAGTCGACATGAGTCATCTGAGAAATTTTCCGTATTTAAATTATTAATGATCAACTATGTATTCATTTCATTGTCATATGAAAAAAATTTCTTTCTTAAAAGTTTTAAATTTTTATTTAAAAAAAAAAACAAGATTAAATTACAATGATTATTCTTCTAGGGTGCAGCATCTGTTATAGAAAATATGGATACTGACCATCGTATAATGTATCGTTTATTTCGTGAAAATACTCGTTTTTTAAATGGCACTCATGTTAAAGTAATCACATGGTTTCTTTTTCTTTTTTGTTTTATTGAATTAAAATAATTTAAAATTTTTTTTTTTGTAGGATTTATCATGTCTTAATCGTGATTTAAAAAAAATAATTTTCTTAGATTGGGATGAAAAAGCGTATCAATTACAACCACGAAATGCTTTACATCGTTTAAAACAATGGAATGGTGAAGATGATGATAGACAATTACTTCATTTAGCTTCATTTCTTCGAAGTTTGTTTTATTTAATTTTTATAAATAATTATTAATGATTTTTTTTCTCTCCATAGTGATTGCGGTGAGTGGTGTTGATGATGTACGTGATGTACTTGATCATTACAATCAAGAGCCAGATCCTGTTGAAGCATTTTTAATTCGACAACAAAAATTATTGGTAATTATTTTTTTTTTTGTAATGAAAACAAAAGAATTTTTTTTTTTGTTTTGCTGAATTTAGGAATTAGAAGAACAAAAAAAACAGCAAGCAGCAGCAGCAGTTAATTCATCTGTAAAACAATCAAAAGGATTATTTAGTGGTTGGACAAGTTCAAAAAGATTTTAAAAAGAAAAATCTTTGTGTTTTATTTTTCTCTTTTGTTTCTATTCTCATTATCTCAAGCAGTTATGTTTTTTGTTCTTGATGATGTTTTTTTTTCTTTGTCATTATTTCTAGATAAAAATGAGTGTTTTAGAAATTCGTCATGAATTTTTTGATGTTGAAGCACGAAATAATGAACAATTATATCAAGCTTTTTGTAATCATGTTTATTTGGGACAATGGGAATTATGTCGATTATGTTTACAACTTTTATTTAATAAACGTTTACAACTTAATACAAATTTAGAAGAATTATTAATGGATATTATTCGAAATCCAACTGCTTATTGGTAAGAAGAACGATAGATTAAATGATGGATTTTTATTATTATTATTATTATTTTGTTTATATAGTACGGGATCAAAAGCGGTACCAACCCCGTTTCATTTTGCTTTATTATTATTGGAAGAATGTCGAGTTAAACAGTATTTAGATGTGGTAGGAGAATATTTTTTTTTAATTTAAAAAGAAAATTAATGAGAAAAAAACGTGGAATTTTTTTTTTTGTAGGCAATACTTGAAACACTTAAATATGATGCAATGTATAAATTTCTTTTGGTTGTTGGTGATATCCAACCGAGTGCACAAGTTGTTCAAGTAAGTCAAAACGAAAATAATTAGTTTCGTCTAATGATTTTACTAATCATATGGAGTTATGTGATCATCCTTAAGAAAATAGATTCTTCGAGAACTTGTATGTGTTGAAATACTTAAATCAATAAAAATTCCGATTATACAGAATATTCCAAAAGTCCATCGTACAAAAAACAAAACGTGAATATCTTATAATCAATTCAAGGAATCTATAGAACTTTTTTATAACATGATAGTATGTTCGTCGAAGTATTATTCTAGCTATTTAACGATAAACGTCTATGACTACAAATATTAGAATCCAAATAGTTGTATTAATTGTTAAATCTAAGTAATGTTTTAATTGCAAAACGAAAAATACAATGCCAGTTTGATACACAAACATACGACGTATTGTGAGAAATTATTAGAGTAACAGATTGATAACAAATGTTTCTAGCTGATACAACAGCTTGCATCACTTCAGAATTATGACTGCGTATCTTCCAATGAAGACATGCGAGTATAGTTTGTTCAACAATTTTATGAAGAAAGTTCACAAAACTGAGTTATGATTATGTAATTTTGATATCAATGTTAGAGAACACTAATAATCAAGAAAAGTCTTTGTTTTCGGACAAGGTCGCTCTTATTTAAGGGTACCCCTCTCTTTCTGGTTCTTGAAGGAACAGCAACGGATCTACATGAGATTTTTTACCACGGATAGAGCACCTTCAAGAAGAAGACGTGCATTAGAGGAAAAAAAAATTTAAACAAGGTTTTCGCAGTTTCTTTGGAAACACTAATTTTCTATAGAACCACATCAGGACTATGTCTCAGAAATGGTTTTAAGCTTTTTTCAAAAATCTGGCTCTTTTGTTTTTAATAACAGAAATACATAAAAGTTCAGATCCAAAACCGGGATGCTGGCATCTAGAACTCTATAAATTCGGATAGAAAGTTCAAAAATGAAAACAATCGACCAGTTGGCCCGATGTGGTCGTATGGAAAACCAGAGTTTTCTAGAAAAAAACTACAAAAACCTTGTTTAATTGTGCAAGAGCCAGACATAAAGGTCTAGTTAAATTCAAAATGAGAACCAATAACAGAAATAAATTAACTCAAAAACAAATGTTCTCTAGGATTTTTTTCAAATATTTCGAACTCTATGAATTTATATATTTCAGACGATAGTAATCATTTTTGAGTATTTGTTTTAGACCAAATAATAAAAAATCAATCTTCAACGAACACACTATCATACTATTAAAAAAATTTATAAAGCGCTTCAATTGTTTGACAGATATTCACGTTTTCCTTTTCATGGTGGACTTTTGACATACCCTGTAGTCTTGTTCAACAAATTTCGATCATTATTAACGACACAAAATACTATTTAGTTTTTATTCTCAGATAAGGTTACTGATGTTAGACTTATTTTCCGAAAAGTTAT